TTCAATTAGGTATTTTTAGGTGATTGGGAGGCATCTAAGGAGTCACCGGCGGTAGTTAGTTCAAGCCGCGCCCAGGTCAAACCTCATACTTGTGATTTCCATTAGAAGAGCGCATTGGATTGTGGGAAAATCAATGTTTATCAATACAAATTTCGCACATGCGCCCTTCAATATTATTAATATTACCTATTTTAGCATTATCCTATTAACTCAAGTGCAATGTAAATAATAGACTTAGATATTGATATTTATTGATACTACACTCTATTTGCCACTCGATAATTTGAATTATATGTTTGTATTTCAAATAATGTGATTGAAGTGTCCGATACACGGTTAACATAATCGTACTAGCTTAGTGCATCCTTAGTGTAGATCCCACAGTCTGACATGGTCTTCAGAACCGTTAGTTATCTATGGTATCATACCTTATTGGTAGTCCTGCCTGTCAGGTGTCAAAAGGCACCGATATTGTAGTTACCAAGAAATGTTGTTTTAAATAGCTTTACATATATTTTGCTTTTCGTTATATCCATGGCAATACAGCTTTTCTTTTTTATGAAAGTTTATTAGGATGTTATGTGTATGTTGTTAAGATATTTGAATAGCATATTATGGGCGTAAACACCACGGAATAATGGACACGTACGAATATGAGTTTCCGACGCTTCTAACGGAAAGAATAATTTCGTTTTACGGAACGGAGGAATGATGCATTATGGGTGTAAATGTATAGGAAACTCGAGTAGTTTTATTGTTTCGAGAAGTTAGTATCATTTTTGCTTTATTTCAAAATATAAAAACAAAATACCAAATGTGCCGGGAATAAATTAGTAACAATTGCGACTGTAATGACGGGAAAAACACTAAATAATGAGGAGTCCCTACGTGGCACATGGGTCGAATACAGGCGCAATGTTATGGCATCACTGGCTAAAAGTCAGCTGATTGAACCATGACCGGGTCAGATGACCGTATTCGGCCGTGTTACCACCGGAAACCCAATTTCATTTTTAGCTTTAAATAGCCATTCAATGCAATGCAGTGGGTGAATCCGAGAAACAATATAACAGTACCGATCTATTTAAACTTCCATCCTGTGTAGTACTTGGAAGTACATGGTATAGACCATTTTCCGTTCACTGCGAGAATCACGCGTTATGCGTGAAATCGAACGTAAAAACAGGACAAACAAAGGTCATAGCGTCGTAGTGACGTCAAACATCGCGTGGGATTCGACAAACGCGAAAGTATTTTGGGGGACATTTCCATGCTTAATAATGTGCTGTCCACATTTGATGATAGACAATTTCGATTAAGTGAGGGTATTCGGAAGCAATATTCCTCTGTCGAAAATCGGCCGGTCGATGTGAGCTACGAAATAAAGAAATTCGAGTTGAAAATCAAATCGTTCTATTTTTACAGCAGACGTTCGACGCGCGTCTTTCATGCATCTCGCGAGATCTCGCAATTGTACGGAAAATCACCTATTGACGCTTCATTCAGGTGTCAACGATATTTGTATATATAGTGACAATCTAGAGTCTACAATGCAATGTTTTTATCATTCTATTAGTTACATATCTTTCGAATAATCTATTATTTGCGTGTGTGACCATCAACAGGGCGAACAGGGTTGCCAACTCTCCTATGTATAGATGTTCCCCCCGATAGAACCATAGCATACGATACTTATAACGCGTGCAGTGAGAGATCTGGAATCGTCCGGTGATGATCGGATTGTTTCACGCGAGAGCGCAATTTTTGGTTGATTTTCTTTGGTGAGACGGAACGTTTAGCGAGAAAATTTTTCGCTTTCTTGTGAGAATGCGAGTTTTGCGTTTCATGACTAATGTTTTTATGATTTATTAAGAATGAATTTAGGTATAAATACTGGTAAATTAGTTATTAGATGATTGTACTCTCAATGTAGGTCATAACATGACGCTCATTACCTCTATCTCTCACCCCACCCCCTGAATAAATACTGTCCCTGTTCATAAACACATGCATACCACTCATATCGAATAATTTTACTATGGTGCGATTCATTTTACGAGAATGCTATAACCATCTTTCCTTGTGAAATATGGGACGAACCGACGTACACGCATGCTTGAAATGACAAGCTAAAACTCGCAGCATGTTAAATATAAATGAACTACTGCATTCTATCTCTGTGATGATCATCTGAAGGTCGTGTCACACAGTGATCTGTTTTCATTATGTCCTACGTTTCAATCTGTAAATGTAAAGTAATGCAAATGCCAATTTGGAAGATAGACACAAGATAAGGCGACGCTTCAATCGCCCCGTGTAGTTACTTTTTTTGCGAAATGAATAAAAAAAATCATCGCATGTGAATGTGTTTGGTTGTTATAACTGGTGGTACGAATATTTGAATTATGCTCGTAGCTTACCTCATGGACCACAGTGTTTTCATACACTGATCTATCATACACCCAACCATTGTCACATTCTAGGGTGTCATACTCTTGAAAACACAGTTCCGGCCATATGCCCATCGAAACGTTGACATCATATCGGTTACACGAATCGTACGTTTCTTCCTCTGCGTCGTATGGAATCGTACAGTTTTTTAAATGAGATGTGTCTTGGAATGTCTGGTCGTCGTGAACCAAGCAATAGTGGTCGGAAGACGCGCTCAAAAAACTGTTTGCAAGATTGAAGTATGCGGAAGGTATAGCTGCCATGCAGATCAAAAAATATTGGATCTTCTGATAACGTCCGAACTCACCCAAAATACGCAATATCTCATCAAATATCATTGTTTATGATGTCCGCGAACGGTGACTAGCAAAACAGTGACTGATGGCCTGTCGATGATGCAAATTCAGTAGTCACAAAATGGCAGCCAGGTATTATATGGACCATACATAATGCGGTCGTGTTAGGATATCGCCCAACTAGATAGTGCCTATCTTTTGTATGGTGCTGAAGTACACGTATGCAGGACTACAGGTGAAAGGTCATTTTATGAGCAGGGCCGTTATTTCATTAGTAACACTAGTATTTACAGTTCTATGCAAGCAAAAAGCCAGCCAATAGCTAGACAGATATAATAGTTCGCTCAAGTCTAGAACTGCCTGATTATGCTTATATATACCTGTGACCGTCATCGAGCAGGAGTTGTGTTCTGTCGAGAAACCGCGAAACTG